TCTTACTAGTTCTCACGAGATAGCAAATGAGCCATTCATGGGTCAAAATTACGACAACACTGACAAATTTATGACTACTGACTTATCAACAAAATATTATGGTGATGTGAACGTCTCACACGTCGAACAAACCAAGAATCTTCATGAGCAGAACTTCGAACCTTTGAACAACAATCACAGGACGAAATAACAGATTTACTGCAATCTAAAGTTAAACTAAAGCTCACTTTTTGAAGCATTTTCTTTAAATTTAATTTTTTAAGTAAATTCCTAAAACGATTATTTAGTGACCTTTAATTTGCAACTTAAATTTCATTAGTGACACGTTTATAAGCACGTTTTTAAATGTTCAGAAATACACCATTAAGTGACTTTAAGTACTAGAATTAATGTGCAACGAATTCATCATTTCATAGCATTTAATTAAGTTTTAAATGTTTGAAAATACAACTTTAATTGGCTTTAGTACTAGAATTAATGTGCATCGAATTGACATTTAATAGCATTTAAGTTAAGTTTTAAATGTCTGAAAATACAACTTTAATTGGCTTTACTACTAGAATTAATGTTCAGCGAATTGATCATTTAAGTTATCTAAATTGGAATTTAATGTTCAAGTATATGTGTGAAAAATGGTAAACCATAGCCTTTAATTTTGCTGGTGCACTCCAACCAAAAACAAACATCTTTCAGGTTTCATATTTAGTTGACTGTTAAAGTCACACCAAAAGCATATAATGGTACATCACTTTTATTACCACCCAACCCTGATAAGAATTTCAGAATGTGATACTCAAGACTACACATTTACTGAAAGTAATATATCTTTATTTGCAGAAAAAGGATAAAACTTTACATAAATATTGATAACAATTTCTATTATATACTGAAGCCTGTCAGTTTTCTAAATTAAAAAAAAAATAAAAATTTAACAGTAGTGCAATTCCTAACTTCTGAAATATTTTTCAAATGTAGCATGTCTGTTAAGCTAACAATAAATAGTATTTTTTTAAATTCCCAATTGCCATTTAAGAGCGACTTTCTGTAAAAATCCACCAATTCCGTAGTTGGTTCAAAGGCAATTCAAAAGCAGATACCGACATCATCAAACGACGCTGAAAGTGTAGACAACGCCCTACTTGAATGCCTTGTCCAGTGTTATAATGAGGCAGATCCCGTGGGATACCCGCCGACAGATACTATCTATCATGGTTGAGAAAATAAGCTACAAGACTCTTTGCATGTGGATCCCGGATCTGAGTCGATATCGCTATCAAATCGCCAAAAAACACTCACTAATTCATGGTAAGGGAGTGCCTGTTCCAAGACCGTGTCATACGAGAATGCATGTTCCTCAAGAAAAATTGGACCATTTTATTTGCTTCATAACGAGCCAGCATATCATCCAGGATTTGCCCTTTGGCGAGAAGAAGCTCACCCTGTCGTCTAATGAAGTAATCACAGTACCCAATGTTATCAGGTCGATGGTTCCAGAACGCATTGTCAAACAATATCAGCAGTATTGTTCAGAAACCAAATTTAGTCCGCTAAGTCAGAGCACTCTTCTTCGAATTTTAGAAGTTTGTACAGCATCGGTTCGAAAGTCCCTACAGGGCCTGGATTATATTACGGCCTCTGGTGCGAAAGRCTTTGATGACTTGATGGAAGCAGTTGAAAAGCTAGGAGATCTGGGCATTGGTATGTCTTGGGCCAAAGAGAAGAAACAGCAGTTGGCGTTGTGCAAGCGTTATCTGAAAAGTGACTATAAGGTAATGGCCTACCACTAGGGAGTGGGATGGGTGGGGTAGGAGAGGCAGGGTGGTAGTAGAGTGGTCCATTAACCTCATGTATTAATACGTAATATTTCTGACCTTGACGATAGGTCCACATTTCTATGTCATCTGATGTACCAGACCACTGTCGAAAATACGCTCTAAGCGATCCAACCGCGAAAGATTACCAGTGTGCATGTGATCACATCTATGATGGCCATTGTGCACGTTGTGACCTCTTGACTTCAATCATTAACGAAATCGAGAAATCACCTGACAAGATATCTGGAACCCAAGATGAAGTAGACGATTTAACCTTCACCATTGAACAAGCAAAGCACAGCATTCTTGCTTGGAAGTCCCATCTACTTCGTTCCATTAACCAGGAGGACGCAAGGCTTGACTTGATAGATAAATTAGATGATAAATCAGTCTTTTTAGTCCAAGACTGGGCGATGAAATATTTACCCAGAAGGTATCGTGAAAGCCAAAGGGATTGGTATGGAAAACGTGGGATACCCTGGCATATCACTGTGGCGTTCAGACGTGGGCAAAACAACGAGCTCGAGATGACCACCATTGTTCACATTTTTCAATCTTGTAGCCAAGAAAGTGATGTAGTCTTGGTTATCATGGCCGATGTAATGAGGCAGCTAAAAGGCGTTATGCCCAACCTCGAATCAGTGTATTTTAGATCAGACAATGCAGGGTGTTATCACTCGGCATTGACCATCGCCAACGCAAAAACAGTCGGGGGAAAMTTTGGTGTCAATGTTCGATGGATGGACTTTTCCGACCCACAGGGGGGGAAAGGAGCCTACGACAGAAAAGCAGCGACTATAAAATCCCACATGCGTCTATTCCTCAACGCAGGCAATGACATTGAAACTGCTGTCCAGATGAAGAGAGCAATTGAATCTTCAGGTGGAGTTCCAAATGTTAGTGTCACGCTTTCGGGTTTGCCAGATACATCAGCTCTTAAAACTTTCAAGTGGGCGGGAGTCAGTTATGTCAATAACATTGAGTACGGTGAAAATGAGCTGCGCATTTGGAAAGCGTACAATATCGGATCTGGAAACCTCATTTCTTGGAAAAGGTTTGCCAAAAATTGTAAAGCTGAAATACCGACTCTTCCGGTAATTGAGAGCAGTATGGCCCAAAAGATCCAGTTCGCAGCGCCGAGGTCTGGAAAGAAAGTCAGTGACACACCAACAGATAACGACRAAGAAGAGTCGGACAGTGAGYTCCCAGTCAACCCTTCATTTGACAAACTCTTCTGCTGCCCCGAAGAGGGGTGCATGAAATCCTTTCAAAGGTATTCTAACTTACAGTATCACCTTGAATGTGGAAGGCATAAGAAGGTGCTGGAGCAGGGAACCCTGCAAGACAAGGCTATGATTGATTATGCAAATAAGCTCGAACAAGGTAGTACCAGGTTACAAGAAGTTGCTGTTGGTTCTTCGTACGATAAAGAGGTCAGCTCCAATCTACCGTCTCTACCGAAGGGTTGGGCCCTAAAAACCACGCGACGAGGAACGTTCACGGCCGCCCAAAACGATTACCTTCTTAAGAAATTTAACATTGGTAGAGATACTGGAAGAAAACAAGACCCGTCTACTGTTGCTAAGGAGATGAGGCGCGCAAAAGATGCTGATGGTAATCGCTTGTTCCCTAATAGGAAGGACTTTCTAACAAGTCAGCAAATAGCAAGTTTCTTTTCAAGAATTGCTTCAAAAAGCAACGTTGGCTTGATTGCAGAAGAAGCTGCAGAAGAAGAAGAAGAWGATGATGATGATGGCGACGAGGATGAAGGTGTATGCAGTGCTAGACAGGAAAAGACATTGGAAGAGTTGAGAATACTAGTAACAAAGGAAATAGGCCTCAGTCATCCTATYATGTATGACACACATRATATTTGCGAACTCCTTTCCAATGGGAAACTCAGTGCTAAGTTCAGCGTTTCTGCATTACGAGATGCGTGCTTTTACTTCGACCTTGATGTTTCTGAAATCAAAGCCAAGCGAAAGAAACCGTATGTCGACAAGTTGCAGCAGTTGGTAGAATCGTGTACCTGTTATCAAGCAAAGTTAATTAGATGAATTGAAAAGCTTATAAACCTAATTATGAGTATGACGAGTGTGTTTTRTTTTGTTTTYTATCATTCACACATCAGTTCTCCTAATAAGGCATACTCAAACAGCGTGGGCTACCTGTGTTGTCGCGGATCTCTTGAGCTTTCAGTGGCATGACTGGATTAAGTTTAAATCAAGAAGTAGAAAAAAAAGAAAGCAGGCGAGTGTCGAGGAAAAAAGGAAAAGACAGTCTGCTTGTTGTTATGAAAATATCTAATTCTGCGTGAGGCAATTTTATTGGGGACAAAAAAAAGGCAAATTAATTCAGTGTTTACCGGGACTCTGTGCCGCCTTCACAACAATTTAGTGTAACGCAAGATTCAAGCTTCATGATCTTGGAGGTAAACAAACAGTTCAGAAATCTTCCAAATAATAACTCGAAGTTCTATAAATAAAAGAAATACTTAATATTCATCGATTTCACTATTTTTTAAGACGATCTTTAAAGATTTTTGAAATATCGTGGCGAATTTCTATCATGTCACGCAATATACAACGACCCAAAAAATTGCTAAACAGCTGATCAGAAAGCTCCACAGCAGCTCATTCAAAATAAATTGCCCAGCGATTTKTCTGCATATTTTGGAAGATTATTGTCTTATAAAGCCTACAAGACAGTTTTTGAGCAATTTGGAGGAAGAGCACATATAAAACGTAAGCGATTTTCGGACCCTATGATTCGTTTACAAGCAATTTGGCGATTATAGCTTAAATTTGTAATTTTTTCCAGACGAAAATAAATAAAATTATKGAAGTATTTCAATGCCAAACTAAGAAGAGATATACTAAAAAAGAAAATATAGTGTTTCAACGATGTTCAGAGCCGTAGTTTTCCAGCGCGAGGCTCATTAGAATCTGATAGTTTTGACCTTTGCGAAAGGCGATTTCAGTGCCGTTTCCGGTCAAAATCGTTTTTCTCAAATTCTCGCCAAACAAAGCAATATTTTAAAAAACKAACTACAGCACGTTTCATGTCACACTATAGGCTACTTTTGGATAAAATATGAGCGAAATCGATTTTTTGACTTGTGCCACGAAAAGTCGATTTTGGTCGATTTTTACAGACAGTCGCTCTTAATATCTAATGAAAATACCCCGGTTACCATAAAAAATAGGTGCAATGTTTTCTTTCATTTGCAAATCATTTTATTTTACATCAATCAATATTAAATCTACATGTCATGTGGTGAGATAATCTACTTCTTAATATGGAACTGCAACAATTCATGGCAATGAAAATGAGTTTTAAATAAAGTCATAACAAGGAAGTCGTGTATATGGAATAATTAATGCTAAAGCCAAATTGCAATTAAATGAAAATATGCAAAACACACTGACGTTAAAGTTCAAATTGGTCTTCATCATCACTCTTTATTCTGCGATATCGCTTTTTGGAGCTAGAGGAGTTTGATGAACAAACGCTAGTGCTTAGCTTTTCTTGGCTTGAAGCTTGAACTGCGAGTACTACGTCTTCTAGTTCTAGTCGCCGTCTATTTATTTCATAGTCACGTTTCTTTTTGGATGCTTTCCGTTTACGACTTTGCCTTTCCGAATTTCCGCTATTAGATGAGGAAGAAACGAGGCATTGAGGAAGAAGTAGGGGTGATCAGACTAGGTATACTTGCTCGTGCTCGTGGAGTTGAAATTGAGTGTTGAGAGGAGGAGGAGGAGGAGGAGGAGGAGGACGAATGGCTTGAAGGATTACTCCCGGCCGCAGGCTGTATTTCACGGGTGGCCCAGGATGGACAAGAAAATGGCACAGGCCTCTGACAAGGTTGCCCAAGTACCGCCTATTTTTGGGATGTCTGAAAGTAGTTTTTGCATCACTTTCGTCCACTATTTTATGGAGTGTTGTTCCAGTTCCGGGCTTCGCCATATTGGCTTTCAATCAAGACAAGCGCCTGAATTTTCTCCAGTTCCATCCTCTTCGTCACTCATTAGAATGGGATCTAGTTCCTGCCACCTTTCTTTTTGATTTTCGTCGCAGACTTTGAGGCGATTGACAAAAAGCTGCGGGAGAGAAAGAAAGGAAGCATTAACTAAAAGGACTGTACTTATAATATTCTAACATTCATAACAATGATAATAGAAAGAAGTGATGTACCAAGTAACATCATGCTCACAAAACTTCTTTTGAACCTTGAATCACAATCCAGGAATGTCTGTGGAAGGGTAAAGTTGAGGAGTAGGAGGCGCACTCTGGCATCTGTCAAAGATATGGGAAATACCTCATCTAGTTTCCCCTCATCATCCATGGTTGAGAACATGATATCTTTAGTTATTTCTTGGTTGCGGCCTTTTTTCTTCCCTTGTTTAATGAAAGAGAAACGTGGTGCAGGTCGGTTACCAAGACCACTTGTGCTAGGAAATGTAGCCGAATTAATATTTCGCACAAGCGTTGAAGTTGCAGCGGGTTGGTAGCTTCGCGAGGGATGAATAGCACTGAGAAAATAAAACATACAATTGATTCAGTAATATCATCATTTCATACACGAAACCATATGTATATGGGGGTAATTATAACTCACGGTGTTTTGGCTGTTTTCTCTATTCATCTTTTCGAATGATATAACTTCTGCTCTGGTTATTGCAATGGGAATCGAAAATCTATCGTTTGACAAAAGCCATACAACTAAGCAATCTGGTTTTGTGTTCTTTAATCATGACTCTGGACGTTTTACAGGAATTTACTTAACAAGTATCCGTAAAACTAGTAAAGAAAGAAAGAGCTAAATTACCTGAAAATTGTATCGAGTTCAAACATATACCATATGCTAGTTACGTAATAAAGAATCATTTGTACGATTTGTACAATTACAATAACAACTTGTTAAATCACGGATAAAATACTATTACATTTGAATATATAATGCCTATATGTAGATTATATGAATATGAATATTTAGCGTTCATACCTTGTCCAGTGGGCTTAGAGTAGCAACGAAGCTCAACAAGCACGAAGCTCAAACACGAGTAGACTAACTGTATTAAATTACTAAGCTTGATTGATTAGTTGATTGTAAGGGAAATAATTAATGTTTAATCAAAGTGAGCGAGTGTAGCCTCGGTCACATGGCTCCCCACAGTGAATTCTTCACTGTAAGTACAATAAAAACTGAAACATTACGCAGTTCATTTGCAGTTAACTAAATTGTTCGTTATAGACTTATCTTGAACTATCTTTCTTGTTATTTTCTGATGGCTCTTCGGTGGGGACTCCCTGGTCTTCAGCAAGTAGAAGTACAAGCTTCTGTATGGGTCTCTCTAGGTACTGTATTTCTTTCGTTCTTCTTCCTGCGCTGTCTAATTCGCGAGAAGCCATAGCTAGCTTCACCTTTCTTACAAGGCCATCTGCACTTGGATAGGTTTCTTGCACTCTGCCTAACCTCCACTGGTTCCTTGGTACGTTCTCGTCCCTAACGAGTACAACATCTCCTGACTTTAGATTTCTTTGAGGCTTGATCCATTTCTTGCGCGTTTGTAGCGTCTGAAGAAATTCTCTCCTCCATCTGTACCAAAATTGGTTCGCTAGGTGCTGTACTCTGCGCCATCTTCTTCTTGCGTAAAGATCTTCCTTAGCAAATGAGCCTGGAGGTGGCATGAGCACCTTAGCCTTCATTGTGAGTAAGTGATTGGGTGTTAGGGGTTCTGGAGCATCAGGTGAAGTTGAGGTAACGTCGTACCTTCGTTTCATTCTGTCACTCGATAACCTTAAGTTCACTCTAGCAAATTCATGGGCGCAGGCCATGCTGTCTTCTAACTTAGAAATGTAGTTGTCATATGTCTGATTCTCTCCCTTGTGATCTTCTGGAGTCCCAAGCATAATGTCTATTGGTAAACGTATTACTCTGCCAAACATCAAATTCACAGGAGTGTGTCCAGTAGATTCATGCGTTGCTGAACGATATGCCATCATTACGTACGGCACATGGGTATCCAATCTCGTTGGTGGTCTTGTACATACTTAGACAATTGATTCTCCAATGTGCGATTGAAACGTTCCACCATTCCGTCAGATTGTGGTCTGTAAGGTGTGGTACGGGTTTTCTTTATTCCCAATAATCGACACATTTCTGCGAAAACTTTAGCTTCAAAATTTCTTCCTTGATCCGAGTGAAGTTGATGTGGTACGCCAAATCTTGAGATAAACTCACGTACTAGGATATCTGCTACGGTTTCGATTAACAAGTATTTATTACCTGCATCACTTAAAGGAAGAGGGCCTAAAACATCAATTGCTATTCGTTCCATTGGAGCACCAGATATATACGTCTTCATGGGTGTCTTCGTTCTTCGCCGGGGACCGTTTCTTTTTCCATATTCTTCGCATTGTCGACACCAATTTTCAACATCTCTTCTACAGTAAACCCAGTAGAATCTACTCTTTACTTTTGCAAGGGTCTTCGTAACACCAAGGTGTCCAGCTGTCGGTACAGCATGAAGTTGCCTGAAAACCTCTGGACGCAGTAGTTTTGGTATTACTAGCTGCATGTAGGATGTGGTATCTCCATGACTTTCCAGCTTGCGATAAAGCACACCATTTCATAGCATTAATGAGTCCCATTGAGCCCAGTATGCTTTCACTTCGGGGCTAAAAGAAGCTATTTCATTCCAGCTTGGTTTAATCTCTTTCTCTAACCACAGTATAATGTTACGCAGTGAAGGATCATTGAGCTGTTTTTCTCGTAGTTCACTTGTGCTCCAACATCTCCCTTCGTAGTCCCCACTGTTTTCATTCGGAGTTGCTTGTAAAAACGAAATACTTGGATATGTATGATCTTGGTAATCTTGGAGGTCTTCATCCTTTTCAGAACATAATCCTTCTGAAATCTCTCTGCGCTCGCAATATCTACATCTTGTGTCAGCACATGGACGTCTTGATAATGCGTCTGCATTCCCATGTTTTGAACCTGGTCGGTGAATGATAGTAAAGTTATATCCTTGAAGCTTTTCCAACCAACGAGCAATTTGATCCTTGGGATTATTGAATTGCAGAAGCCACTGAAGAGCTGAGTGATCAGTTCTTAGTTGAAATTCGCTACCGTACAAGTACGGGTGAAAGTGTTCTACGGCGCTTACAATAACCAATAGTTCTCGTCTTGTTACACAATAGTTTGCTTCCTGTTAAGTTAAGCTTCTGCTGAAGTATGCTACTACGTGCTCAGTTCCGTCTTTCATCTGAGAAAGAACAGCGCCTATGCCAACTTTACTTGCATCTGTATCCAAGACATAAGTCTTCTYGGGATCAGGATAAATCAATATTGGAGGATTTTGCAGAGCTTGCTTTAACTCAACGAAGGCAGCTTGACATTCTTCTGTCCATTCAAATGAGCTGTTTTTCTCTGTCCACTTGTACAGGGGCTTTGCTTTTTCTGCGAAGTTATGTATAAAGCGTCTATAGTAAGAGCACAAACCAAGGAAACGTCTGATGTCTTTTACATTCACTGGAATTGGCCATTTCTSTATTGCCTCAACTTTCTCGGGATCTGCAGAAACTCCATTTACTCCGACAATATGTCCAAGAAAACTTACTTCTCTTGCGAATAGTACAGACTTCTTGGGATTTAGTTTCAAGTTTGTGTTTCTCARCTTCTGGAACACTTGTTTCAAGTTCTTTACTTCATCATCAAAACTTGCGGCATGAACAATTATGTCATCTATGTAGACCAATGAAGTTTCGAAAGGCAATTGGGCCAGAACAGCTTCCATGAGTCGTTGAAAAGTAGCTGGCGCGTTACATAATCCAAATGGCATAGCTTTGAAGTGCCAAAGTCCTTTTCCAGTGGAAAATGCTGTTTTCTCCTTCGATTCCTCTTCCATTTCCACTTGCCAATAACCACTTTTTAAATCAAGTGTTGAGAACCAGCTAGAGCCAGAGAGTAAATCTATCGTCGTATCCAATCGTGGAAGTGGATATGCGTCTTTTCGTGCGACTTGGTTAAGCTTTCGATAATCTACGCAAAACCTTGTAGATCCATCCTTCTTGCGCACCAACACAATGGGTGAACACCATGGACTTGAAGATGGTTCAATCACACCCTTCTCTAACATCTCATTAACAGCTTGTGATGCTTCCTCTGCTTTTAAGAGGGGAAGACGGCGTGGGTGCTGCTTGATGGGCAATGTGTCTCCCGTGTCAATCTTATGCTTAACCAGACTGGTATGCCCAAGGTCTTCTAGTCCTTTTGAGAACATGTCTTGTTCCTTAATGAGAAATTGTTCCAACACTAACTGTTGTTCTTTATCCAAATGTTGTGCAGTTCGTTTATAAACATCTTGAAGTCTTTCTGGAACTTTCTGCTTTCTTTCTTTATCTGGTTCATCATCTGCAAGTAAATTAACGCTCTTCGTGGGCGAAGCTTGAAATACACTAACACAAGGCTCACAAACGGCAATTTCTGTCATCTTGCGCAATTGTTTTCTTCCTGGTGAGAGGTTACAAATTCTTACTGGCACGTAACCTTCTTTTAAATCTACTAGCGTTCTACCAACCATAACTCCTCCGCTTTCACTTTCGCAAAAGTCTTGTTGTGGCCTGACGATCATCCAACCAGTTTGCTTATCAGCATCAATGACTCGTCCTCTGACGACTGCTTCTGTATAAGGCCTCAGTTTTAGTGGTTGCTCCAACATTACTCGTAGTACCTCAGGTGAACTTGATTTTTCAGAACTCTCCATAGGAACGTCTGCATCACCAATTGTCAATACCATGCGTTGATAGTCAATTATACAGTTTTTCAAGAAATCTCCACCCAACAAGCATTGCGCAGTCATAGGAACCACCCAAAACTCATGTTTGCTTTCAGTTTTTCCGATTCGCAACGTCATTTGGCATTTAGACTGTACATTGACAATTCCACCACCAAGTACTTTCAGTTTTTCTTCTACACTATCATGTCGAATGTAGGTCTTTTTCTCTATTTCTTCTAACAATTTTGTGCTTACAAGTGAAACGTCTGCACCAGAATCAATCAGGAGACTGCATGCAGTTTTCTCAATAAATCCCGGAATAAAGAGTCCACTTCCGCCATTAAAGCTTGTAATTTCTAGGGCATTTGTATTCTCTTGAATGGCCAAATTCAGCCCCGTGAACTCGGCCCTTGGTAGTTTCCCTGATCCTGTGATGAACTTCTGTTATTGTTTCCCTGTGGTCGTTGGAACCTTGCGATATGTTGGCGTTGCTGAAGGTACGGTGAAGCAACTGGCTGTAGCTGCGGGAACCCCGTGACATTCTGATTTGGTTGAAGGAAGCGTTGATGTAGACTTGGATAGCCTGCGGCATCTTGTTGTAGCTGTGGGAAGCCTGTGGT